AAAGCGTCAAGGTAAGCCAATTAGGGCTGCCCTCGAAGATGTGCGCCTCGCTCCACATTCTTCCCTACTCCGAGAAATAGATGAGATCAACTTCGTATTCCCAAGGTCGTATTCTATTCTGGACGAAGATGATTTGGAAGATGACTGGATCCACGGTGAACGTCTGCCGTCAATATTCCCAGAACTCGACACTGTCGACTTCTTTCCGAGTCAGCATGTTCAAAAAGGCCCTTCCTCGGACATGACCGCCGCTACAAAGATCCCGGACGCTAGTCCCCCACCGGTAGGTGACAATGAAGATTGCAGTTCACATGAAAACCTTCCCAGTGATACTTTGGCATCGACAGGAGATGTCGCGGCTATCTTTGATCGAGAGCCTTCCCTTTGGGTGCAACATCCATCCACATCGGCTCTGCTCTCCGGCGACAGACCAAAGCGGGCGGATCTGCCACACGTAGATATCGGCAGTAAGCTGATTTCGCTTCTCTCCAACTCCAGTTCCAGAGCAAGAAATGACCTCAACGCAAGTCGTCGCGACCCTCGCCCAGACAAGGACATTGGTTCTGTTCCTGTCGTAGCCCCTCCTAATCTTCCGCATGCCTTGGAGTCATCAGAGCAAATGATTCTGAAAGAAATAAAACGGGTTATAGGAGACAAAACCGCTTCCGAGTCTTCTCTCCAGTTTGTTCCAAAGTGGGTCCTAGAGAAGTCTATGGACAAAGAAAGAGCTGTATATAAGGAAAGCGTCAAGGAAATTGACATTCGATCTCTTCCACCTTCATCCAACGTCATATCGTCCCACCTACTTCTTCCAGGTCAAGCACGATGGTGAAGAGGACAAGTTCAAGCTGAAGTGTCGCCTTGTTCCACACGGAAATCGGGATAAAGAGAAGGACTCGATCCGATCCGATTCGGCTATCGCACAATTTCCAATCATCCGCATCGTCCTGTCCGTAGCTGCCACCCTTGGTCTTGTTCTGGCATCTATCGACATCAAAGGCGCCTACCTGCAAGGTGGTGAGCTTCCGCGGGACATCTACATGCGTCCACCTAAGGTCTGGGCTTCGCATTCCCGCATGGTCTGGAAACTGTTGAAGCCGGCCTACGGTCTGGTTGAATGGGGCCGTCTCTGGCAGCCAGTCGTTGAGGAATGGATGACGCAGCAGGGCATCGTAGAAGTGTATGGTCTCCAACAGCTCTTCGTGCTGCGAGATCCACAGGGACACTTGCTCTTGGCAATTGCAAAAGTCGTGGATGACTTCTTGATCGCAGGGACTTGCTCTGCAATCGAAACGTTCCACAGAGACATCTCTAACCGATTTGAAGTCGGGCGCTTCATCATAAACCGCGACTTGATTTTCAACCGCTTACGCATCCACCAGGACCCCGACTTCACTGTTCACGTTGACATGCAAGAGTACATGAGTGGCATTATCCCTCTCGAACTCTCTCGTCACTGCCGCAAGCAGCGGGAGCAGCGATGCACCAAGGCTGAGGTTACTTCGTTCCTCGGCCTTACCGGTTCGTTGAACTACCTTGGGCATGGCATCTTGCCTCAAGCTGCATTTGCCGCAAGTCACCTCCAACAGATGGTCGGACGCCTTACCGTTGCTGACTTAGATACTGCTAACAAGGCCCTCAGTGAAATTAAGAACCTTACTCCCCGGCTCCAGTACCGCTCCTCCGGCAACCTGGAAAATCCATCTTATCTGGGGTTCTACGACGCCAGTCAAGGAAAGACTGCGTACGGGCAGACAGGCTACCTTTCTGGAGTTTTCCTGCCTGCGGGGGGTGCCGGTATCTATCACGTTCTTGACTGGCTTAGCTGTAAGCAGAATCGAGTCTCATTCTCATCCATCGTTGCAGAGATTCTTGCAGCTGCCACTTCATCAGATCGCGGATCGCTCATGGCAGAGCAGCTTCAAGTTCTACATCAGTCAGAAACATGCCTTCCCTACGTACTTACCGTAGATTCTCATGGCTTGTACTCAACAGTAACGATGCTGCATGAAGGACAAGATTATCGCCTCCGTCCAACCGTGTGCAGTATGAGGGACTCCTATGAAACTGGAGAAATCTCAGTAATGCAATGGATCCCTGGCAAGCAAAACCTCGCAGACGCCCTTACGAAGAGAAACATTGTCATGTACAAGACACTAAATGAAGTACTGGTGTCTGGAATCCTTAGTGCTTCCATCGTGCAAGGGGCCCAACGGACGAAGCATGGAGACGAACGGAGACAAGTTCGCTTTGATCACTAAAGCCCCCTTTTACTCCTCCTCTTCGTCTATGACAACTCTCCTCGTCTTCCTACGCTGGCCAGCAACCTCCTCATGTTTCTCAGCACGCTTCTTTTCCCTCACCAGCTTCTGTTTCTCTTTGGACATCTTCCTCGATGGCCTCTTCTTTTTCCTACCTCCTGGCGTGACACACGCTTCAATTCTGCAAATCCTGCGAATGTAACTCCATCTCCAATGCAAATACTGAAGACCCTATCTCGCATCATCAATCCCTTCGTCTCTGCGCAGTCTAAAACTACCTTTCTCTCCACATCGACAACCACAACATGGTTGACCATCTCCCCATATGCATCTACCGCTTTGATGCTCGCTAAGAACACTCCACTCTTCTGCCGAAAGAGCCAGGCGGCATCTGGAACATGTCCAGCGGCACTCTTAGTATTGTGAAGTGCATACCGCCCCATCACCTTCTCAATCCAAGTACCCGCCATCGCAAGGCTGTCACATGGCACGGGTCCCTTGGACAAGACCTCCTTAGCTGCAAGAGGCCCGTCTAGAGCAGACAACGCATTACCAATTCCCGCTCGCAAGCAGCTCCCCGTGGGAGAATAACAAGCCACGTCGACGGAGGGTATGGAAAAGGAGGAAGCGCGTGTGGAGCTCGGTCTCAGCCCAGGACAGGCAAGCCTCTTGTACCTGTCCATGTTCTTGCAGCACCATTCGTTCAGCTGCAACATAGCTTTCAGCTGTTGCTCCGGCCCACATCGCAAAATCATCATCGGCTCCTTCTCTGTTGATCCCTCTCGTAGCTCCACGTCAGAGCATATAGGACTCCCAGGTGCGTCCATTATCCCACCGCGTTCCGCTTCCAAGATACAAAAGTCGACCTTCCAAAAGCTACTAGCGCCTCCAGATGAAAGATTGGAGGCGTAATATTGGCCAGCTTTCCACCCATGGCGCTTCCCGGACGCAAGGCTGATGCGTTTAATTTCGTAAGGTCTCTCCTCTTCTCCATCCTCTACGGACCAATCCACACGAAGAAAACCCCAACGCGAAACTGCCTCAGCTGTCCAAGACACCTTCCTGTCCCGATTGCACCACCCTCGCAGGACCCCGGACAGCCTGTCCCCTTCCGGCGCAGCGATCCCTGCTCCAAAACTTGACCATTCCATAATGTCGACGTCGTGGTCCATTTCGACTCTGGCATTTCCACCTCTAACGGCCGACACACGCAATACTACGCGCAGGCGCCCCGCTCGTTTAAAGAGAAGCTGCTTCATACCACCCCGGCCCGTTCGTACCACGGCTCAACGAGCGCACAAACGATGTCGGCGGGGCGCGAGGTCGGCTGTGGAAATCCGTGAGCGCTTTGAGCAGTGGCGGCGCAGCAGGTCTCGGCGGCTGAAAGCGGGGTCGTGTGTGCAAGGTGAAATGCACACATGCAAGGTGAAATGTGCAGGTGAGGAGGCAGATGCGTGGTGGTTTGGACGCTGGACGAAGATAGGCGCTCGAGACTGTGTGCGTCTACGGCAAATGGACAAGGTGCGGCAAAGCGCAATAACTCAAGGATCTGCGATGCGGAGATTAAATGCGGAAACAAGCCGAGGGGGGAATTGTTGGGTGGTCGTCGCAGACAACGCCGACACTGGCGGGTCACGGTTCGAATCGAGCTCCGGACCACTTTCTTTGGTCGCCACGCAACGGGGGGTGTGTTGAATGCGCCTAAATTCACACATATTTTAATCCAACCAAACTGTAATTTTAGGGTTGCTACCGGCGGTCGCCGGGAGATTACCGAGCGGCGGCCGAGGGCATAAAAACCGGGGGACTCGCGCGAGGGAGAAGGGATCCCCGGGGGTAACAACTTGAGTACCCGAACACTTCGCCGGCTGCCCGCTTCTCGTTCCCTGACGCGAGGACGACTGCCCCTCTCGACCGCCTCGCTCGCTCCCGCTGCTACTGCGCCGCCGCCGCCCTGCACCCAGCCTCTTCGTCCCTTGGCGCTCGGCGCCCCCCGCCACTGCACCGCTGAGGCACGGCTACTGAACTAACCTCTCCCGTCTTTCCAACCCGTGTCTGCCACAGATAGAAGACAGTCCCCAAAATCTGACTGCGAGGCGAGCGTCAGCATGCTCGTTCTCAGCATCTTCGTTGAAGTTCTATCTGTTCAGTTTTCGAAGATGTTCTTTCGCACTCATTTACTTTTTGAGTCAGCCCTTGTTGCGTGCATGATACTTTGAACATTTTTGTGTACCATACTGTTACTCTATCGCTCCTTTTTCTACGATGGAACAAAATTTTTGCACGATATTGTTGTGTTGCATTTCTTTCGGCAACTTTCCCCAAGATTACATCAGCTTCCATTTGCATTATTCCCATGTGCATGTTTGGTTTCATGCCCTCTGCTCCGTTTTATGAGTGCCATTCAGATCGTGACGCTCCGGAACAGATGCATGTACAGTACAGGGGGGAGGTCGCTCAATAGTGCCTTCTTTAGTAGTGCTTCCCTCTATATAGTGCTATGGCTCACCCTCTGGCACATGTTATCATAACCCCACACGTGTATCATCCGGCATGGTTCACTGTAATAATAACAGTTGGACGCGAGTGATTCTAGATATCATACTCTTGGGTGCCGCGAGGAGGCCTTTTTAACTGATAAATAAAGTTTCTTGTCACGGCAATCTGGGCAAGTTGCCCCACATGGCATGATATGATTGGGATGATACCGCGATAGAGATACGGGTGGAGATCGTCTAAATGTGGCAAGCAGCTGGAGGAAAGGGGATCTCCGATCTGGCCCGAATAAAACAAACTAAATATTTGTCTCTGGAATGGGGATTGCTTCAGCAGGGCAGATACAACCCCCTCCACGAAGCCGATTCAAGCATTACCCTCCCACATCGTCAAAAGCACCCGCTTGCTCTAGGTTCCAGGCACCGAACCTTTAGCATTCAACCACAGCACCTCCCCTACTAGATTTCAGATTCCTGACATCATAGTCCCCCACATTCCCGAACGTCACCAACACAGCTTAATTGTTCTTTCACCAGGAGTTCTGGCAAAACATCTTCAACATGTCTTTCGCGCTCCCTAATCTTCCTTATCAATATGACGCTCTCGAACCGTACGTCGATTCTACGACGATGAATATTCACCACACCAAGCATCATCAGACCTATGTTAACAACATCAACAAGGTTATCGATGGGCCAAGTGGATCGGCACTCAAGGGCCTCAGCCTTCCCGCCATCCAAGCTAACATCACCAGTCTTCCGGCCGAGATCCAGACCCCGGTCATCAACTCTGGTGGCGGCCATTTCAACCATGCCATGTTCTGGACTCTCATGGGCAGGCCTGGTTCCTGCAACACGGCTCCGGTGGGATCGATCAAGGATAAAATCAATGCCGACTTCGGTTCCTTCGATGAAATGAAGGCCAAGTTCAATTCTGCTGCCGCGGCACGCTTCGGAAGTGGATGGGCCTGGCTTTCCGTAGGCGCTGACGGAAAACTCTTCATTTCTTCTACCAAGAACCAAGAAAACCCTCTCATGGCTGGTGTCGTCGACCAGCCTGGCTCCCCCGTTCTCGGCCTTGACGTCTGGGAACATGCCTACTACCTCAAGTACCAAAACCGTCGCCCGGAATACATCTCAGCCTTCTGGAACGTTGTCAACTGGGATCAGGTCACGAAGAACTATGACAGCGTGTGCAGCGGTAACACGGCTGTGTTTGATGTCCCCATGGCGTAATAGATTATTTGAACAACTGTCAGTAAACAGAAGTCTCCCCTTGGTAACCTAGACGTCCCTGAGCCACTGTGGTGATTCTTCTTTTTGGTGGTTCGGTGTCCTCAGTCCCACACGCACCTGCCATTTCGAACTGTAAATGTCAGCACTTCCAGGAAGATCTGCATGTTTCAATATGGCTCACATAGGTTGAGGAACAAGACATATCCGCAAGGAACTTCCCTTTTGATGTCAACGAGGAAAGCCCTCCCTGACTTCTGATAGCAAACAGCAAGACTCGAGCCGCTCAGAAAGGGAAAATAGGCGATAGAACCCTGCGTTAACTCTGAAATATCGCTCCGTTCAAGAACCAGCACACTCTTGTGTACTCAGGTTTCTAGGAAACAATATTGCCATCCTCCTTGATTGTCATGTTGCTCTAGAATTGATAAGAAAAATTCCCGCCCCAACGTATAGAGTACCTTCGTTATGATCTGATCGAAAAGTAGTACCTGAAATGTGACGGGCAACAGAAAGGCCAACAAAGGGGATAAAACTCCTTCCGATGGATAGCGGATCGGGAATATATCATAGCGGATGAGGGCAATGGAGGGGGAAAGTTCGTTAGTGGGCTTGGCTACTGCGGGCTTTCAAACAGTTCTACAATAACTGAAAACTGCCCCGACAATACACATATTGAAGGACCGCCTTTTCTCAAACTTTCTCTCAAAATTATGTAGATCTTCTTCAGAGGCACCGCTAGAGCTAATAAGAAACTGGTTCTGTTGTACTGGGATGGTTTTACAAACGCGGGAACGAGAAAAAGACGTACTACATGGCTGACTTCAGCACTTCAAGGCGTTGGTGTAAAACGTAGGATTGATTTCCCTTTTCAAACCGCGTTTGGGGGCTCGCGTAGCCGATTCGCTTTTTTAGTCGATGGGACAGAGTATGTGAATGCTTCAACATTGACATTTCGCCATAAAGAGCCAGCAATAGACTCCCAAGACTTTACACAGAGTGCATGCAGCTCATGCACTGCAGCTACCCGCACCCCCTCGCCTGCCAGACCGAACAAGGTACAATAGGGAATATTTTATTAAAGTATTCGTTTACTGGGACGAGTTTCCATGATCTGGTTGAGTGAACTCTCTGGAATGATTGGATGGATGTTTTTAGATACACCGCAGGACCAGCAGTGTCCCTTTGAAAACGTGTCCAATACGTTTCTCTCAGATGTTTTTTATTAAAAAAACTCACTGCGATGACAGTCCGGGATCACGAATACAATATGCAGTCCATTTCCCGCGAAACGACTCTCCTCCAAACGCGCCAAAATTCACACATGCGGAAGTACATTCTACGCTATGAACTTATATCTATAAACGCGGACGTATATACCTTCGGATGTCCGCCCGTCTCAGAGAGCTGCTGTTCAACACGGAACACTCTTGCACACCATGGCAGAATCGAGCAGTGTTGTGGCGTCAGCGCTGCAACTTGAGAAGTCTTCCGTGCTTCGTTTCGTGCGCAGCGCTTCTTCACTTCTATCAGACACAACCACTCTTCATCTCTTTGAGCACCGCAATGGCATGTACTCTATTCACGGCCCATCCGACGTTGTCCTTGCCGGCCGCCTAAGCGCCGATGACTTCCGGGGTGTTTGCGAATTGCCCGCTGCGCCACCTGCCGTTCAGAAACCGCTTGAAACCCTTTATTTCAGCTTTCGCATCGCGAGGGACCTTGTGGCAGCAGCTTTATTTTCAGCTGGCAAAAAGGTGGAGGTAAGGTTTGTGACGGCGGACGGAAGAACCTCTCTCAAGCTTCAAGGCAGTCCCGGTAACCCAGATGAGCTTGAAGACGTCTTCCTGGACAGTTTCAATGCACACGGCACGAGCGCCTTGGCTCAGGGCGTCGACAAAAGCATGCTTGACGATGGAGCAGTCATTGCTGTTAAAGTATCGACAGAAAGGAGCATGACCGTCGTTGGCATTAGTGCGTGGGATGCAGCAAGGAGAACGCTCTGCATCGGAGAGCTATATGAGGATGACATGTTTTCCAACCTTGAGGGCATCATTGTTGCTACGAATGCGAAGGAAGCTATCTTTTGTGAATCAGACTTTTCAGCGTTTGACAAGACGAAGCTAGTTGACGTGATCGAAAAGTGTGGCGTAGCAATGACTATGGTGAAGAAACAAAAATTCAAGTCGGACGACTTGCCTGTTGATTTGGAGCGGCTCGCCGGCTCCCATGTCGCTATCACCAAGTATTTAGACAAAAAGGCCGGCATTTCAGCAACTGCATCATTGATCGGATATCTGCATCTGATGGCTGACCCATCTCTCGAGGGTATCATCAAGCTACAGGAGCTCGGCTCTACGAATTATATGCAGCTCGACAATGCGGCTGTTCGAGCGCTCAATATACTACCGTTTCCTGGAGATGGTGGAAAAAAAGGATCCCTTTTCGGTCTGCTGAATCGCACGAAAACGTCAATGGGTTCACGGCTTTTGCGTAGATGGATTTCCCAGCCATTGCAAGATATTGATGAGATCAATTCGCGCCTTGACGTAACGGCAGCCTTCATTGCCGGTGCTGAGTGTTGCCGTGGAGTTCGAGAAACCCACCTCAAAATGATGCCCGACCTCAACCATTTGTGCAAACGATTCACAAAACATCAAGGCGCGAAGGCGAATCTCCAAGATGTCGTGCGGCTTTACCAGTGTTCTATACGCCTTCCATTCCTTTGCGAGCTTCTCGAAGATGCCGAGAACGAAAAAATTCTCGGTGAACGATACAGTGTACCCCTTCGCAAGTTAGTGCGAGAATTAGTCAATTTCGAGGCTCTGGTAGAAACAACCATAGACATCGATAGGATCGATAACGGAGAGTTCGTCGTGAACCCATCTGTTGATCCTGAACTCCAGACGCTGCGCCAGCAACAAGACAGTATCCTGGTCGACATCAACGATGAGCACAGGAAAGTTGCTCATGCCATTTCGGGCCTGAAGAATGATGCTTTGAAGTTGGAACGGAAAGACAACTTGGGCTACATCTTCCGTCTTACGCGGAAAGAGGAAAAGTTGATCCGTGGGAAGTCTCAGTATAACGTGTTGGAAACTCGCAAAGATGGTGTTCGATTTCAAAGTCGAACATTGCGTCGTTTATCACAAGCGTATGAATCAATTGCTACCGAATACGATGGTAGGGAATTCGAAATGCGCACTAAGGTTCTAGAAGTTGTCGGAACGTATGTCGAAGTGTTTCTAGACGTGGCTGCAGTGCTAGCTGAAGTAGATGTGGCATCTTCTTTTGCGACAGCCGCAGTAGAAGCAAGGTCGGCGTATTGTCGGCCCACATTGAAACTAGCTGGATCTGGTTTGGTGTTGAAGCAGGCCAGACATCCCATTGTTGAGGAGAACATGGATGACGGAGCGGAATTCATAGCCAACGACATCGATTTGACCCGCATCCCAGACAATGCCGAAAGCGATAAGGAAGGAGGTGGTCTTCTGATTGTTACTGGACCAAACATGGGTGGCAAGTCGACATACATTCGTTCGGCCGGTGTGCTCACCCTCATGGCGCACATTGGATGTTTCGTACCGGCAGAACATGCGGAAGTACCCATTACTGACAGGATTTTTGCTCGCGTCGGTGCTGCGGACAACCCAAACCGAGCAATTTCGACATTCATGTCAGAAATGCTCGAAACAGCAGCCATCCTGAAGTCAGCAACCCACAACTCGCTTGTGATCATCGATGAACTTGGAAGGGGAACCGGCACAACAGATGGATACGGGCTTGCTTATGCCATCAGTTGGCATATTGCACAGAAAATTCGATCCGCTTGCATGTTTGCCACTCACTTCTTTGAACTGACCGCTCTTTCTGAAGATAGTCCATGTGTTGGAAATGTGCACGTATCAGCCGTAACCGATCCGAACACGAACAAGCTAACTTTCCTCTATGAGGTTCAACGCGGTGCTTGTGACCAAAGCTTTGGTGTTCACGTTGCTGAGATGGCTCGATTTCCTCCGAAGGTAGTAGCAGAAGCAAAGCGAAAGGCCGACGAACTAGAAGGCATCGGGACCGCTGGAAAGCGTGTGAAAATGTCAAATATTTCAGATGGGGACAAAAAGGTAGGGTTAGGAATGGTTGAAGAGTTTCTCGAGAAAGTGAAAAAACTGCCGCTAGATACAGAGGAGCATAAGAAGTCTTCTTTGGCCCAAGCTCGCGATTGGAGGAAGCGAATCGTGGCTGAGAAAAATCCATACGTGATGGCGTTACTCGAAAGTTCTTAGCTTGACCGATGAGCCTGAACAAAGTAAATCGATTCCTCGAAAATGTCAACTGGGGCGTCGCATTTTCATGCATCCTCAAGGGATTGAACCGTTACCACCAATACTGGCTGATTTTTCGAAGACGCCGCTCTAGTACTACAGGAAGCAGCATCCTATTAACCTTTTACGCGAAGCTTCAGACAAGTTAGCACGAAGGCCGTTTTAAGTCGGAGAAGTTAATGCCTGCAGAACCAGGGGACTAGCATGGCACTCAGCCTCAGGCAGCTAACCTAGGACACGGACCGCTCGTCTAGATCGAGAACAATCGCTGGAGAAGCTGAGGAAGCAAGTCATTTTCATTCGTGCTTTAGACTCGCACACATATCGATGTTCTGTAACGCCCGCCAAGCTACAGTGGCTTTGGAGCAGAATGTATATTTACCCTGTCTGCAAGCATGTATAAGCAAGCCCTAACTTTTGAGATTGCCTCCTGCAGCGGTTCTGCACTTAGAAACTTCCTCCTTTATGCAGCCGCACCAACTGTTGCAGCATCTGCTTGTCGCGCAGCTGCGCGAATCAGATCAGCTCCCTTCTCCGCAATCATCATTGTTGGTGCACCAGACTGCCCTCCTGGAAGTGTAGGCATGACGGACGAATCGACAACTCGTAGCCGTGCAACACCCTTTACCTGCAATGCCGGATCAACAGCCGCCTGTTCCCCAATTCCCATGCGGCAAGTTCCAACCATTGCGTTGGCAGTGTGGCAAGTATCCCGGATATATGCTTCAATGTCGGCATCAGACACTTTTTCGCCACCAGGATACAGCTCTCTACCTCTAAATTCCTTCATACTGTCGTCATTCCCAATCGTTCGGCACAGCTTCACCCCGTGCACCAGTGTTTTGAGATCCGCGTCGTTAGAAATCCAGTTTCCATGAATACTCATACTATCGCGCACGTCCGTAGATCGAAGTTGCACGTGTCCTCGTGACTTCGGGCGAGCAGCAACTGATTGGATCGTGAATCCAGTGGGTCTGTTTGCTCGATTTTGCAAGTAAGAACCCGCTGTTGCGAAGTCGGCGAGGGAGTGGTAGGGGTCTGGCTCTGAGACGAAAGGGATAAACCGCAACTGCAAATCGCAAGCGTCCATGGACGGATCAGTCTTGGCGAAGCCTCCGGCTTCGCACATAGGAGACGTTAGTGGACCCTTGCCCCGGAATACGTAGTTAAGTAGTGTTCCAATATTCTTGCCTGTGCGTTCGGTGTAGTACACAGAGGAATTGGCCTTGTCCTTTTCTGGATTTTGTGACTCAAAGCTGACCATTGCTGCGGCGTGATCTTGGAGATTTTGGCCAACTGCAGGTACATCAGCAACAATTTCAATGCCGTGACTGCGCAGATGTTCGGCCGGGCCAACGCCGGAAAGCATGAGAAGCTGGGGTGTAGCGTAGACACCGCCACACAGAAGAATCTCCCGGCTGGCAGACATCCGAACCCGCGTACCCTTCGAATCAATGAAAGATACTGCCGTGGCGACAGGAGTGGAGGAACCGGCTGGGTTCTCAAATAAAATTCTCTCAACGACAGCGCCGGTCATGACAGTGAGATTGCGCCTTCCTTTCGCTGCGCGAAGGTAACTGGTGGCTGGGGATTCACGGCTTCCATCACGTTGTGTGACTTGGAATGGCCCTACGCCATCCTGGCCAGTTGCCCAGTCGTTGAAGTCAGGGTTATGATTGAGACCGGCTGCGTTATGAGCTGCCTTAATGAAAGCCTTAGACATAGGGTTAAGGCGGGCGAGGTCACTAACAGCAAGCGGTCCTTCATAGCCATGTGCGTCTTGATTGGGGACGGCGCTCTGCTGCGACTCGCTCTTGAGGAAGTACGGAAGAACATCTTGGGGGGCCCAACCTGGGGCGCTTTCTGCCCATGCGGTGTAGTCGGCTGGGTGTCCGCGGTGGTACAACATAACGGAGATGGCGTGGGAGCCGCCGAGGACCTTTCCGCGAGGAAAGTAAAGACGGCGGTTGGCGAGATTTGGTTCGGGCTCTGTGACAAAAGCCCAATCGTTCGGGGAGCCGAGAAGATAAGGGAACCCAAGAGGGACGTGAAGATAGAAGGAGTCGTCGGGTTTGCCGGCCTCGAGAAGTAGTACACGGGTTGAAGGATCCTCAGTTAAACGGTTGGCGAGGACGCATCCGGCAGCACCGCCACCGACAATGATGTAGTCGTAAGTGGTGGCAGCCTCCGACGAAGGGACTGTGCGACGGAATGTAGAGGCTACTGTTCCCGCAGGAGCAGCCATATGAATGAGGCGGCGATGGGTGGGGGGAGCGGGCGTGCGCACAGGTCGTGGGGTACATGATGAGGAGGAGGAGATGAGGGATGTGAGGGTGGATCTCGGAACGGCAATCGGGGTGGCGAAAGCCGGACAAGGAGAAGCCATGTTGATGGAGGACGGAAAGGAAAGAAGAGAGCAAAGGGTCAATGCCAAGGAGCAGAGAACGGTACGAGAAATAAATGAGGGAGGACTGGAGCACCTTGCACCTTGCCCTTACTCATCAAACCCTCTGTCTGGGAGGATGAAATTGAGCCTGATCTCGTGGGGCGTAGGGCGTGTGATCAAGGCGAGAGATATGGCTCTCGCACGAAGGCCGAGGCGGACCAATGGGCGAGGATGGAGCGTATAGCGGCCAATGAGAGAACGCGCCGGGCCGTGGTGCTTTCGCTGCTTGACCGAGGCCAAAATTTTAGTTTAATTCATATTCACGCTGAGATCCGCTCGGTGGGCAACGACCAGCCGAACGTAACGGCAGTCTAACTACTGAAGGGTAGCAGTCAGGGCTGGCTGGTGATCTCACCAGCCTGACTGCTACCCACGAGTGAACACGTGTACAACCCAGGCGCGCCCGTTCTCTATCCCCTCTTACCCCCATTCTTTGCGATGCACGCATCGCGAGTCCTAGACGTTTCCGCGGAAACAAAAAGGAAACAAAAAGAAAGGTTTCTATTGCAACTCCTGAAAAACATTGAATACATTACAGTATTGGGGTGTGACTGTACAGTATCAAACCTTTCGGGCGGGTTGGCGCCAAGACTTCGGTTCAACTTATGACCTGAACAGCCGTGCGGACAGCACCACCCCGTTCCCCTCATAAAGAGAAGTGAACACGTGTATTTTTCTACTTTACAGAAAAGTTCAGCACCACCCCGTTCCCCTCATAAAGAGAAGTGAACACGTGTACTTTCTAGAAAAAAGTGAACACGTGTAACGAGCCGTCCCCTTTTTTCTTGCTTATTATTGCTTATTGCTTATACTTACACCTAGACACCTAGATAGACTAACGTCTAGGAACCACAAAGGATTACAGGGGGGGTCTCTTAATTAGTGCACTTTTAGTTAGTGCACATTGGATTTTAATGCATCCTCTGATAGCTTGGCACGACTTTGTACAGGTGTACACGTATGTTCACGCGAGCACAATGGTCGTCGTCCGTAGAGAGCGGGTTCCATTCTTTTACAGATCCCAGCAACCTTATGCATCTTCGAACAACTAATCACACAATGAGCACAACTGAACCAGCATCCAGGGCGTCAAGAACCCGCCTTACCCTTTCGCAAAAAGAGGAGGTGCTGCCGCGACTTTCACAGGCCTTTGCGCAAGCAGAGCGATATTGTGAGGAGGTGCGTGTTATGGAGGCGTCCTATCATTTACGTCTTGCTAAGCGAGCGTTGAGCCGTGTCTATAATGAACACACGAAGCGTCAGCGACGGCAGACGCTGGTAACGGAACATTTCGTTGCCCCGTAAACTACTTTTTAGCGAGCCCCTTAGATAATGCACATTGAAGATAGTGCACATAGAATGCGCATGGCACGGGGATGCATTAATTGAGGGAGTCGCCTGTATCCCCTTTTACCCAGATTTCCCTGGAGCATTGAATTCTGCACGTGCGGGTAAACCTTGTACTCGTCTATGAAGACGGACTTGACCGCCTTCATTCACTATGCCTGTCAAGACTGCACCTGTTAAATAGCAGTATGGAACCGTGGTGCTATACAACACTGCTCCAGTAAAACGGTGCTATTCTACATATAGTTTCGATTCTTACAAGCAAATTGGACCCGTTCAATACCGCTGCAAGCATAGAACAGAGATCCATGTGTTGGGTTTTGAAAAAGAGGGCCGTCTTAAAGAATGAGCAAACCCGCCGCCGTCGGTGTTGCAACATGGAAAATACACTCCTCATTACTACAAAATTCGATTTTCCCCGACAGGGCCTCCTCGTACGTGAGGAGGTCAAACTAAGTACGTAAACACTCTGAACGCTCCATCCCTGTTGAACAATGATGCTGTGTCCCGCCAAACAACGACACCCCCCCTCTCACGATGGTATTTGGGTTCAAGTGCGGGTGTGGTCGTAGCTACTCCAGCCTTCAACCGCACTGGATGCACTCACATCCAATGCGGTTGAAGGCTGGACTAGTCACTCAAAACTAGCAGGGGGAAGGCATAGCCCGAAAAATCTTGCGAGTGCTCATGTGCTGATGTGTGTCTTCTCCTTGTTGCGCAGAAGGCTGCTCGTCTGAGCATCGCTTACACGTATACCAAGGCCATCGCGGTGCACAGCACTCTAGGCAATGAAGCACGAGCATGGTCACGTGCAGCGGATCAGCAAATAGAGTGCACAGTAGGCGGTTGACGACGTCAACCGCCTACTGTGCACCCTAACGTCAACTTGACGTTTACCCGTTCGCCGAGCAAGACACTTGGAAGACGTGTGCTGACCAAGAGAGAACCCGGTGACTGGGTCTCACCAAGGCACTTACTTCTGTTTGATGAGGAAAATTCTCGCATAATTACAGTACTGAATTACACTACAAGGGCCAGGACGTGAGCGGACGCGGGCGGCAGTAGCACTACGCGGAAACCTGTCGTTGCGCCCTACTCGCCAACTTTTTCGTCTACCCCCCTCCGGCGCCCCGCATCACACACCGCTCGACTCGTCATCCCCTCCCGCCATCTCTGTCCCATCACCCGAAACTCCCAACGCCCCTTCGCGCTCTCTGCTTCTGTCCCTCCCCACTCCTTCCCATCTCCTGCGTTTCCTTCCTTCCTCTCCCCCTGTCCCAACCCCCTCCAAACTTCTCGCCACACCCCGTCCGCCATTCTTCCCTTTCCGCTTTCCTCCCTTGCCCGGCGCTTGCTTTTCGTCTTTTCCAATCCGCCTCTCCGTCTCGTCGCAAACCACATCAACCTCACAGCTACGCCCTCCCACGCGATGGGCGCGCCCGCCCCGCCCGCATCCCATCCTAATCCGCCGTCCAACCCCACCGCTGCGGCGTCGAACCTCTCCCCATCGTCGCCTCCTTCCGCCCGCTCACCGCGTTCTCCAACCTCTTCCTCTCATTCGCCCGCGTCTGACGCTTCGGAAGCTTCATCGGACCACTCTCCTACCGCCTCCCCAACCCGCTCCTCCGCTTCAACGCCCTCCCCGTCACCGCAACACCATCACGACTCCCACCGATCCCCCACCACCCGCCTACCGCCCCCACCGGCTGCCCCCACGCCTCCCGGTCTCTTTAACCTTGGAAACACGTGCTACCTCAATTCTGTCGTCCAGGTTCTATATCATATCCACACCTTCCGGACATCTCTCCTATCTTACGCACCGGCACACCATCAAGACCCTCTTCTCGATTCCTTCGCCTGCGAGCTCACCTGCTCTCTCCGGAAAGTCTTTCTCACACTCGACGATGCCTACGCCGCCGCTCTCAGAGAACGCTCGTCTTCTCATCCCGGCCCTGATTCGACCATCCCCAACGATCCTCATCTCACTGTTTATTCCAACACCGCAAACCATAACGACGAACTAATTCGCGAAAATGTCGACTATGTCGAGCCACAAAATATTATCAACTTGCTCCGCGATCATGAGCGTTGCCTCGAATTTGACGCACGTGGTCAGCAAGACGCTCACGAGTTTCTTCGCTTCCTCCTGGACAAAGTCAACGACTGCATGCAAATGGACAATGAAGAAACCCCAGACCCCGTCCCACGCCCTGAAACCAAACTGGACAGTCTTAACCACATGCCTCACAACTCTTGTACATACCCCGCGCTACCTCAAGACTTACCCCCACTTCAATCAACGTCATCAAGCGCACCAACAAATACTGGCTCCTCGTCTACAACCCCTACCCCCACATGCCCCTCCCCATCCAGCCTGCCGTATCTCAACGGTCATCTTCAGACGAAGCAACCTACGGACTCGTCTGACCATACCACTCAGGCGCCGGCATGGGAGCATGCCGCAGCCCATCAGCATATGACTGACTATGATCATGCGGATCGCTCCAGAGAGACGCATGGTGCGACACCGACAACCGCTGCAACGTCTCTGTTATCACATATTGCTAGTTCTGTCCGCGCTCCTAATCGACTTGGTGTGAAGGATGAAGATGAGCAGCCATCACCAACAGCAAAGCGACGCCGCTTCGATTCGCCGAGCGAAACAGAGGCAGCGTCGCCGTGCAAAAAGCTGCGACGTGAAGGCCCTGTTTCACCCAGTGATGATCAGCAAAGAACGAGTGACAAAAACGATAAGAGTTCCGCATCGTCTCCAAATCGTGGCACACCACTTAGAAACGGCTTCGCAAGAAGCGAAAAAGTTTCATCACACGGTACATCCCCGGCATTGACGGACGAGCGACCAGCAAGACGCTACAGACGCAACCTAGTCCCAGACTTGTTTCAAGGCCGCGCTGTCACTGCAACGAGATGTTACGAATGTGAGTCTCAGTCGAAGCGTCCTGAAATGTTTCTTGATGTATCTCTGCCAGTAGAACATGGCAAGTCCCTGGATTGGGCTCTCTCGACACAATGCGTCGAGGAACAACTTCTTGGCCCTAACAAATACCATTGCGACGTCTGCAAAACTTACACTGAGGCAAAGCGATGGTGGCAAGTCGCTTCACTTCCAGAAGTGCTCACTGTGCACCTCAAACTTTTTGCTTACGGCAGTCGGTTGACGGGAATCGGTGGGAAGGTATCTGTCGCAATGCCATGCCCAGTCCGGACGAAGCTGGCAGAGTGGTGTGATACGGATTGCCGAGAACGGAACGATGAATACATTTTGACAGCTGTAATTGTGCATGAGGGCACTGGTGCTTCTTCGGGACACTACTATACATACATTTGCAAGACTGAGCAAACTCAGCAATGGTATTGTTTTGATGACTCTTTGGTGACCGCTGTTTCCGAAGAGGACTTAAAGCAGAGGCTTTTCACGTCTATGAAGACGAAACGGACGGCTTATCTACTGTTCTACAGCAATGCTAGTGATCTCAAAGCCCATGCGACTCACAGAGCCTCGAAAAGTGAGAGAGCTGCCGGTGTGCTGTGATGCTCCTGGATTGCGTTATACTGTATAAATTTCTGACGTCATTCGCACGTTTTGTGAGCTGTTGCAGTACTTTGTTTTTTCTTTCATCATAACAAGTCCATGCAACCTTGTCGCAGTGTTTAGTCTGCGCGACGAATGGGTATTGTGTCAAGATTGCTAGGAGGAGCGATTAAAGACTGGCCCGTTCCGGGATCCAAGACTGATCTTGTCTTTCAAGAGCTACTCGCTTGGCTATTTCCAATGAATTTTGCGCTCTGTATGGAAGGCAATGAATCTTGAATGCCTCACTGCCTCTTCTGTGCCAGGAATACAATCCTACCAGGTGACCCTTAAACCGCGGCGTCCCTGACGGAGGGCAAAAGGATAGAAACATACGGGCCATATGCAGAAGGCTCACAAGGTGCAGTGCGGTTCAGGCGATGGATGGGCCAGCGGTAGGGATTGTGTGAGTGGCGGCCGTAAGTGCACCTTCACCAGTGGGCGACTCTTGAAATTCTAAAATCGCAAATTGTGTTGACCAAATCGGGATTTTGTGACACACAAACGGCGCGTTGTGCACACACAACGCGCCGTTTTCTCGGACGGGCGACCCCATGCTAGGTTAAATGTGTATCGCACAAATGTCAAAATGTGCGCGCGTACAATCCAAATTTACTGTACACAGAGAAAGCGTCGGCCGCCGCCCGACCGACGAGACTCGACATCTACATCCTACCGAGCATGGCTCTGAATGAGAAGTAGCAATAGAATAGCCATTTGGTCATTCATGGTTCTGACGGTGGCTGCTCAGTGAAAACACCATCATGATTGAGCTTAGCTCACAGCACACACTGTAGATAGAGCTCCGACGGCGTCATCGCCGGCGTCCGGTGCCGTGCTCGTCGTTAGGAACGACCCTGACACACCGTGCTCGTCGTTAGGAACGAGTTCAAAGCATGCGTACAGTAGGGGGACGCACATTATGTGCGTAAGCATTTCCGTGGTAAAACTCATTTTTTGTTCACAAAAAAGAAAAATATGACTCTGACACAAAAAATAATTTCCGGAGGCGCCCAGTGAGACTGCTTTACCACTCTAGAAAAGTATTATTTGGTGAAAAAGGTTAATTTGGGAACTCAGGGCGTGTCTTAACAGGCTGGTTTTTGCTTTGCCTTGCCCGGTTTTGCCAGGAATACTTTTAAATTCTTAACAAATACCGTATGCTTCTTAAGCCGTTGCTTTTCTTAAACACATAAATTAAAACGTAGGAGCCACTCATAGCACGCCAAGTCACTTCTTTGGGCAAGGCAAAGCAAACCGCAGCAAAACGGGGCATGTTAAGACACACCCTCAGTTCTCGTTGCTCCTATGAAAGCATGCCGCTGAGGAAAACTAAGTGCGGACACTGGGTACACGTGTCCGCGTTATACGCTCTCTCTGATGCTTATTAGAAATAACCAAAGGGAGATTTCACGATCAGTTAGCGAAACGGGACAAAAGAACTGATTCGCGTCCGTGCACACCAGGGTGCATGCCGGTGAAGACCCACCAAGGAGTAGCGAGCGGGTGTAAGGGGCTTACAGTCAGCCGAGCGTCGCACCGCGGCGACCCGGAGGCATATAAGCGCAGCGCCCAGGGTCTCCGCGATCGCCGCCGTCCCCGGGCATGTCTATTTCTCTCTGAGAAATTCCCCCACCACTCCGGGCGGCGACGAAGTGTACGCGACACACACAGCGTGCCGCCGAGGAATCATGGCAGGACCGACTGACAACCCCGCCCCCGCCGCGCCGGTGGCTGCATTGCGGTCCACCTGGGCTGCGGCGAAGCCGGCGCGCCGCGACTACGGGGTGGTTGTCACCGAGCTGAATTCCTCGAAGTTGGTAGGCGAGGGAGGCGTCTTTGAGAGGGGCCCACACATTCCCGTTACGCACATGGGTTATTTTAAAACTCCCCAGGACGCGTTCCTCGCTGATCTCAAGTCCAAGGACCGGTGATCCGGAAAATAATGGGAGTACGTAAACGCCACCGGCGTTTGGACGGAACTGGGATTGGCCGCCATGACGGTGGCCAAAGATGAAGAACCAAGTTTGGAAGACATGGTAAGGAGGCTCAAGTTGGCTGAGGAATCGAGGCGGGCGGCTCTAGAGGTCCTGTCGATGAGGGCACAGTACTTCCGGAACATCACAGAACAGGGAGTAGAAGCCGCTCGCCAGACGTCCTTTCTTGTCGAACAGGGCCATGATGCGGTCTTCTCCGAGTCTTACCGCACGGCACGAGAAGTCCTCACCTCCAGGTTGGAGGTCGCGGCGGCGAAACAGCTGGCGAAGTCTCGACTCGAGAGGGCCAGTGGACGCAATCTGCAGGAGAGTTTCTCCGGGGCTCCCCAGTCAGAGTGATGGCCCACCCGGGAGAGGGTCCCACAAGGGTGGCCGGGGGACAACCCTTGTGGACGAGGACGTCCTTGAGGTCCGCCGCCTGGCGCTCGAAACTCTGGGCGTCAGAATATCTGGTGCGAGCTATCCGCTTTGGCATTCGCAACTTGCCAACCGAGCCGTTTATGGAGGGGCTCGTATTAGGAGAGATCCCCCAATCGGAGAAATATAAGTGTTTTGGGAGGGCATATCTGGAGAAGGGGTGTCGGGAAGGGATCTACGAGCGGGTGAGCAACGAGGAAGCGGACGAGAAGGTGCAGGAGGGGAATATGATATCTTCGGCGTTCACTGTGTGGCAAGGGGAGGGGGAGGACAGGATTGGAAGGTTTGCGGTGAACTTGCATTGGCAGAGCAAGCACTGGCCGCGGGAGAGCATCAAGATGGAAACGATACCCTCCTTTGCCGCGGATATACAGAGGGGAGATATGTTAATGTCGTGGGACATACAGAGCACGAATCGACATTTCTATCTGCACCCACATGTGCGCGACTACTTCCTATTTCGGTACGATGGTGGGGTATACCTCTGCTTCACTCTGCCATTTGGAGGGGGTCGCTCGGTGCTCTGGTTTACGAAGCTGTTGCGGCCGCTGGTTCAGTAGATCAGAGAGAAGATGAAGTCTCGGGTTCTCCCTAACATCGACGACTTCTTGACAGCGCCCACACCTTTCGGAAGAGCATCAGGGCCGCAGGACTGTGCCCGGGCACGGCGGAGACTTGGGCGGCTCTTGGAGCGCCTGAGGATCGAGAGGCACCCGATGAAGGGTTGTTGAGAGGGAAGCCGCAGGATAGACCACCTCGGGGTGCACATCGACACCGAGGAGATGCGCTTGTATGTGTCCGAAAAGAAGGTGGCGCGTGTGAGGGCTTTGGCCAAAACGATACTGCTGTTGGCGCAACGGAACCGCCGCCTTGTGTCGTTGGAACTACTGCGACATTTTTGCAGTCGTCTGTGTATCGGTAACCCTCGTGCTCCCGCTCACCCGATTCTATACTCGGTCGATCTACTTCGACATGAGCCTGCCCGAAAAGCGGGCAACGGAGACTGAAACCGGAGTGGAGCGCAAGGAGCGAGGGCCAAGTACGAGGGGGGGTTGTTGCGCTCGAAGCGCGCGCCCCCCCTCCCCCCCCCGTAGTACGCTGCGCGGAGCTCCAGGGGGGTCTGGGGGCCGAGCCCCCGGCGGGGGACTGGAGTCGGAGCCACCAGTGGGGGTTCAGCGGCGAAGCCACCGGGAACGGTACGCTGCATGGAGAGGCTGGGGGACGGCCGCGTTCATCGAGAGCGCGCCTCTGCCGCCAATCCCTGCGCGACCTGCGCTACTGGCGTTCGCTCACTCGGGGCGAGGGGAGAGATTTCATCAGGCCCAACCCGCACCTCACCATGCACAGCGACGGAGCCGATGTCGGGTATGGAGGCCCCCTCGGTTTGGAAACGGGCGCTGGATTGCTGGGTTTGTGGGAGGGTCGCGTTTTTTGGGACACGGAGGACAGAGCGCAGTCGATTACTTTGAGGGAGCTCCGCGCCGTGTGTCTGCTTCTCCATCGACACTTTGCCGAATACGTCTCAGGATCCCGCGTCCGCCAACTGCTCTTGCACGAGGACAACCAAGCGGTAGCGTACATCCTCAACGCAATGGTGTCCGCGAGCAAGGCAATGATGGTAGAGCTCTGCAAGTGGGAGGTGCTACTGCACGTTCTGGGGGTCAAGATAGAGTCCTCAAGCCTCGCGTCGCCCGGATCCCACGTCCGGGACAGGGCATCCGCGAAGCGGTTCACCGCGGAGGGTATCTAACGGGACTCCCTCTGGAGGTCAATAGCGCGCGAATATCGCTTGGACCATATCGTCTTCAACTCCCGACCGCTGGGAGAAAACATGGTGGCCCGGAAGAAGTTCCTGCGCAGGCAGATAAAGGACAACAGGGGGGACGGGACGGGCCGGCTGTGGAATCCGCCGTTCGACATGCTTCCGCTGGTGGTGCGCAAGATCGAGGCGGAGGGACGGAGGGGGATACTGTTGGCTCCCAATTGGCCTGCTCAAGCTTGGTTCGCGGGCTTGCGCGCGCTGAGCTCACGCATGGTCGTGCTCGACCCCGGTGGGTGCCACGCACCGCTGCTTCGCGCAGAGAAGTCCGTCAATCCCGCTTGGTCGGTGGTCCTAGCCGAGATCAGTTAAGGGAGGATTGGGAGATGGGGATCCGGGCGAATGTATTCGCACGGACCGGGACTGCAGGCGCCACGGGAGGGGCGCAGGAGGTGGCGGCATTGGTGGTGCAGTACGCCCGCTCGGAGAGCACGTGGAGGAACCGCCTGACCCAAGTTCGCAAATGGCTCCTGTTCTGCGATAAGGAGGGTCGTCTCCCACGCCTGGCTGAGGAGGGAGACTTACTCGCATACAGCGGCTTCCTATCCCTCGAGGGCCGGGTCGGGCCGACCTCCGCTCCGCAATATATTTCGGCTATCGCGGCATATCACGAGGATGCTGGCTATGCCTCTCCAACCCGCACGAAGCCAGTCTGCGACCTGTTGAAGGCGTATGCGCGTAAGGAAGAGCAGGCTGGTGGTGAGCACACAGCCCGGGCGGGGCTGACA